CCAAAAAAAAAGGGAGGGGCCAAAAAAAAAAATTCCCGGGGGGGAAAAAACGGGGGCCCCAAAAAAAAAAAAAAAAAAAGGCCCCGGGAAAAAAAATTTCCCCCGGGGGGAAAAAAATTTTTGGCCCAAAAAAAAAAATCGGGCCCGGAAAAAAGGGGCCAAAAAAAAGGGCTGGAGGGCCCTTTTCCCGTCCCCCAAAGGGTCAAACCCCGGGGGGATTTCCCCCCCCCCCCCCCCCCCCCCCGCCTCTCGATGGCTCGGGGTCAACGGTGTAACAACGAAGACAAGCAAAACATGAGTACGCTCCCCCCCGCTTGTTTGGGCACAGCAAACGCAAGGATGATGACACTAACAGCTTCTGGCTCACCCTTGTGAAAAGTAGCCTGGGCCGGCCAAAACCGCTCCGCCCCGGCAATGTAGTGATGCGAGGTCAACGGCCTAACGACTACGGCGTCCACGGCTATGAGCACCCCCCCCGCGTGCGCCTCTCGATGGCACGTGGTCAACGGTCTAAGAACCAAGGCATGCGAAACATGAGTATTACATCTCTCCCCCTGGCTGGCTGGCTGCATTGACCCACCTTGTACTTGGGAGCGTCCATGTTGCTCCTGAACCAGAAGGTCCTCCCCTCGTTGGTGACATAGTCGTAGAGGGAGTCGAAGTTGTCCACCAGTTTCACTACCTTGCCCATGGTGCCCACGTCATGCCCGTCGAACGCAGACAGGTCGCGGTAGAAGAGCCTTCCCCGTGTGTGCGACGCACCGGAACAAAACAACGGGAGACCAGCGACGAGGAGCTGTTTGTTAGGTACGTTTCGGGCTCCGTACGAAGCTAGCTTCAAGGGTTGTTGTTGTAGCTGTTGTAGCTGTTGTTGTTGCTGCTGCTGCTGCTGCTGCGTTGTTGTTAGTGTTGTCTTGACGCTGTTAAAAAATCGTTCCGGTCTCCGCTCGGTACCTTCTACCATCGGCACCGGTCGTGGACGCCTTCCGTGGCCACAGACCAACAATTTACACGTTCGAAAGTAACGGTAGGGTTGGGTTATAGAACGGCGGCATTCATGTCCTACTAATAGCACCATCGGACAATTTGCACTTCCCGCTCATCTTCATATTACTCCATCTCGCACTACTTAATACCATCGGGAAATGCCCTCTCCGCGCATCCTCAACTATGACCCGTACTCACTCACTCATGAATGCGTTTACTCCCTCGTGCGTGAACGCGTACGGAAGCACTACACTTCTACTAGTTAGCCCGGCGCCCCTCCCGGGGCCCCCTTCGCAAGAAATATTAGTTTACGAGGAAATAGAACGTGGAGGGGGCACACAGACGCTATTCCAAACCCTAACGCATTAAAAATCGAAGGCAAAGTACCGCAGGAGGGGAGGTTACAGAGGGGCTCTTCTGTGTGACCACGGGTTGGAGTAAACGGCACTAGTGCTGTGAGCGCTGATTTGAAGTGAAGACAAAAAAAAAAAAAAGCAACAACAACACAACAACTTCCCCGATAGCGTGCTGCATCCAACGTGTTCACTTGAACAGCAACAACCTACGAGGGCCGCCGCCTTCCCCTCCCTACCTGTTGACCGGGTCGCAGCTGTCTCCGATGCTGATGATTAGGGTCTTCCAGTCGTCGGACATGATGCTGGAGGCGAGCCACTTCTCGTCCAGGGGAGACTGGTACACCAGCTGCCAACACAAAAAACACACACACGCACAAAAAAAAAAAAAAATGTGGCTGGCGAGATGACCGGCGTTCCGTGTGTCTCACTCCCCAACGTGTCTCCTAGAAACCGAAGAAAAATAGTGAAGAACGCAGACCATGAAGACATTTACCAGCATAACTTGCAGGATAGAGTCACCAATCCGTCGATCAATCAATCAATGATATGGAAGGTTGTCAAGCGGAGGGAGAGTGGAGACGGGACCCGTTTCGAGGATTACCTCCGCAAGTTGAAGATCAACCCCACATGTTGGTGGGAAATGCCAAGACGCAAGAAGAATGCAAACGATGTTGTTTGCCGTACATCAGCCATGGGTGCCTTCAAGGTGATTCACGGAACCCCACGGCCTAGAGGTGGGACATGCTCATTTGACACCGTCCATTGGTGGGACGGGACGTACTCACACTATAGGTGGGAAAAAGTAAAACTTCTCTCGGCGGTCGGTAAGCTGAAAAGATCAAATGGTGGCTGAACGTAACACACCGAGCCAACAGGTAATGCAAAACAAGCGAGAAAAAAAGTGACCAAACGATACAAAAAAAAAACACACACACACACGCAACAATCGTAACAGTTCATCAAGACTTTGCTAAAAAATACCAAAAAAGTAGAAAAGTAAATTCAGTTGACAAGGCGTCCTCTGGTAGCTGTGCACACCCATCCATGCGCCGGCAACGGAAAGGGTGCAACAAAGGTATACGGCAGTGGCGATGGGCGGCGGCTGTGCAACCCTGGGTTGTGTGTCGTTGCCCCCCTGCCAATACAATTGCCCCCCTAATTGTACCTGGTCTTCTGAGCTCTTGGTTCCTAGCTTGTGGTACATGATGCGGTGCCCGGTGGCGACCTCTACCTCGGTGCCGGCGCTCTTGCCGGCGGCCTTCGAAGAGGAACACACAGAAAAGCGGGGAGAATGTAGGGGGGGGGGGAGACGCGAGACGTGTGAGGTTGACTGCGCCTTTCCGGCACAATGGAAAGGCCGGGGAATGTGGCAATTCAACCATTCAACCGTTATGCCACCTCTGTTCGGAGATATATTTACCATTGGGACATCAAATTATATCTGAATCGCCCTTATATTTCCGAACAGAACAGAGTTGTTTCTTTGAACTCGAGGTACACGGTGGTCACGACGCCACCTTTTACAGCCAGTCGCCCCGACAATAATCACACTGCAGTGACACAAAACTCGGTCACAAAACGCTTAAGCAGGAAAGGCGTACGCGAGTACACATCAGCAGAGCTTTCCCAGGCAAAAACCGTCCAAACGGCGTACATAGATATCGAGAGCCCGGGTGTTGTCGCTGCCTTTCACAGGCGAAGCGACTGCTTGACCCCGGGATCACGCGTGATAAATCGTCGCACCAACGAGGGCAAGGGATGCAGGGGGCACCCCCGATCCTTTCCACCACGCACCTCCAATGACTTGGGTCGGGGAAACGCCGAGTAGAAGAAGCCCCTTGCCCCCTCCTCCCACGTGATACCTCCGAACTTGCACCAATCCACCACGTCGGGGAGGTCCTTGCCGGTAACCACGTCCTTCACGTGAACGGAAAACCTTCCGACGAAAAAAACACACGAAAGAAACACGAAAAAAACATTCACGAGAAAGAACACCGCCAAACAAATGGATGGCAAAAAGACAACATCGTCCGCGGGTAAACGCCAGTTGTTTTGCCGGCCAAGTAAAAACGAAAAATATATACAGGTGGCCCAATATATTCGCATGTAGGGGCAAGAGGAGAATATGTAACTACTCAGGGCAGTGCCACTATTCGACATATCGGGTTCATGTATCATACATGTTGAGATTGTGACAAGAGATTTTGATGTCACCATGTCGGCAGTTCCACTGATCAAGTTGCCACTGTATATCGGGCCACCTGTATCTTCACGGAAACAGAACACGTCCAAACACATGTCTGAAAGAAAAACTTTCCGACCTGAAACACGAAAAAATTACAAAAAAAACATTTACGAGAAAGAAGACCGCCCAACGCATGGATGGAAAAAAGACAAAGGCGTTCGTGGGTGAACGCTTGTTGTTTTGCCGTCCTCGGCTACCGTGGCACCCGTGCTTTCGTCTTTTCCTCGCAAGAAAAAACCGTACCGAATCACGGAACCACGCCACCAGCCCCACCAGGACACACGAACGCTTGGTTGCACAGCAGCTTCATAGCCAAAACATGCCGCAAAAGCAACCGCTACCGCTGCAATCACAAGAGTCACGACCGCCGGCCAGCCAATCAGCGAGCGGCCTCGGCGTTTGAACCCACCAATCAGAACCCTTCTCGCTGATGCCGTAGGCCAACTTGTCCCCGTCCTTTGAGAAGTCCACCCCCGACAGAGCGCTAGTGCCGTCCTTGCTAAGCGTGTTCGGGTCCAGAAGCACCTCCGGCGTGCCATCCAGCCCAACCTTTGTTGCAGAAAAAGAAAATATGAGTTGCGGTGACTTAGCAGTTGTCTCCTAAATTTACCCGCTGAGAAACGTGTGCCATCCACCCCAGGCTTTGATGTAGAAAAAGAAAAAACATGAAGAGGTATTATTGCGGTTGCTGTCTTCTAAGTTTACGCACTGAAAGGTGTGCCATCTAGCCCAAACTTTGCTGACCGAAAAAAAAAAAAGTCAGAATGAGTTACTGTGGTTTCGTTGTCTTCTGAATTTACGCAATGGGCAGCCCGAATTTTGTTTTCAAAAACAAAAAATGACGTGATGAGGTGTTGTGGTTGGGGTGTCTTCAACGCGATGATAGGTGCCGTCTCTCCGTCTTCTGGCCAATGGAACCCATCTATCCCGTAGGCAAGGGCAGAAACAATAGACCGACACCCAAACCCCCAAACAGAATAAGAAATAGACGTGGACACGAAAAGGCGCAAAACAAACACCTATTTAGAAAAAATACTGTTGTAACACGGAAGTTGTACACACAACCATTGAGTCGAGACACAGCCACTTTGAAGCGACACCACCGCCAGCAACAGCTACCACGGCAGCACCAACAAACGACGACAAACAAACAGGAAATGGCTATTCAGCACAGCCCGCACCTGCTTGTACATGACCGCCTGAGGGCTGAGGCCCTTCTGCAGGTAGGAGAACCAGTACTCGCCCACCCTCCAGGGGGAGCTGTGCTTGTCGTAGTTGAAAACCTGACAAATACAGACGATAATGGAAGGCGGTATTAACGCATCGAACAATCGAGGGACGCAGGGAAAGAGAGGTAAGCTACAGTAGCTCATGGATCGCACCAGCTGTTCGTTGTTGTTGGTTGTCGATATGGAGGCGGTTTCAGTATTGCAGGAATAGTGGTGGAGAGAGACAGAGAGACAGAGAGAAAGAGAGGGAGGGAGGGAGAGAGAGAGAGAGATAACGAGGTCTAGATTGACATCGAGGGGGCCTGCTTAACTCTGTGCTGCTGCTGCCGCTGCCGCTCGTCCGTGAACTTACCTCTTCGAGCCTGGACAGGAACTTTCCTCGACCCGGTTCTAGTTCCGTTTGGAGGTACGCATCCGTGTGCTGCGAGTGCACGTGGCATCATGTCATCGCCATCCAGTACCACCGAGAGCAAGAGAAGTGGAAAATACAGCGGAAGGCATGACGTGGAGCAGCCACAACTAATAGAAGGGAAGCGTGCCGGCGTACATTTAGTCGAGACCTTGCGAAAACCTTGCTGCCTCGACGAAACAAATCTCACTTTGTGCTGCCGTGGGAAGCACGGCATTGGACAAAAACCCATCCATCCGACTGTAAAAGGATGGGGTATTTTGTGCCAGCGGTACGACGCTCCAATTCGAGACCTGCGCACAAGCTCCCTTGGTAGTGTCCCCCTTCCACCCAAGCATGCCTCCCATCTCTCTACACCACCCTGAATCCGCCGGGACCGATTCTTGATGGTGCCGAAATCCGGCGACAATATACGGTGAGGTACGGCACGAAAAACGGTGCGGTACGGTATGCGATGTGGTACGGTGGTGCTACATGTACCGTTGCATGCAGCTCTGTGCCGTGGGTTTACCTTGGTTTGTTCTTCCACCCACGCTTTGGTCTCCATGCTGTCTTCCTCTGCCGCAACGGGAGAAAAAATCAGGCACACGCCAACAGATGATCATCACAAACCGTCGAACGCGAATGGCGGAAAATAAAAAACCGCAACACATGGTTGGGGTTACACTGCAGACAGATTGGGTCTCATACATCAACGCAGACCAAATGTCCGTCTGAAATAGCAGCGACGACAAACGGAGAAAAAACACCACCTTTTGGAGCAGCGGCAACGGCATGCTGCTTTCAGAACGTAAATGGAGGGACGAATTAGGAACGGCCACACCACCACCACGCACTCATACGAAAGTGTTCAAGCGAGTGGAAAAGTTCAACGTAGCAAAGGAGACGACGACAAGCGGGACGCAGGACGACAAACGTTACGTTAATCCTTTCCCTCACACAAACCACCAAACCAGACAACTACAGCCCGGACGCTAGCCCCTCCCCCAGCCCCAAACAACTTGGAGCAGAAGCGGCGGCAAAAACAAGTCGGCTCCCATCGGTTGGCCCCGAACACTCCCGGGCAGCACTGCTGGTACCGTTCGACATCACGACGCTGCGAAACGCTATGCGGGGCGAGGCCTGGCCGGTCGTCCACAAGACATCCGGGGATGGGCGTACTCGCATGCTTACGTTCCTTGGTAGTTTGACCATATTACCACGCGTCCTCGAGAGGACGGACCAGTGCTCCCACAGGACCGATCACCGATGCCTTCCTACATTTATTAAAGGTGGCTCAAGAACGTTTTCCCCCTATCCTACCGGGGGGCGGGGGCGGGTCAAGTCAAGTCATCACCCTCACGTTCCAACCATCGGTAGGGATCCCGCACGACGTGGCCGAAGTACTCGTCGGTATGGTCGGATCGCCGCGCCGACGGTATCTGCAGCACCTTCTTCCTCGCGCGGCTGTTGTGGATCGAGCGAGCGAGAAGGAGGCCTCCCACCAACGCGGTGCCCCCGGCCTGAAAAATGTTGTTTTTTTTTGGGGGGGGGGGGGGTGTACTCATGTAAACGCATGCCGTAGTCGGTAGGCCATTGATCTCGCAGCCGGCGATATGACGAGTTTTCGCTGGCCCACGCTACGCTTCACAAGGAGAGTAGGGATGGGAGGTACTCATAGCCGTGCATGCCGTTGTCGTTAGACCGTTAGCCGGGGATCAAGTGGAGTTATTGTCCACGTCATCAACCACCTATTGTTTTGTCGATCGGTCTGTCTGCCTCGTTGTTTGGAGGACGAGGGGAAGACCAAGGCAACCCGGAAGCGGAGTGTGGCATCCGAAATGGAGTAGCCTCAGCAGCAGCATGCCTCCGACGGCTGTGCTGCTCGTGCCACGCGTCTGCCTTTAGACGTCCGTTGTTATCGCCGTCGTCGACAGTATCCACAGTTGTCAGGACAAAATAGCAATCCCTCCCCTTCCAACCTGCAACTGATATTCTCTTCTAGATTTCAGTGTCCGCCGGCTAACCCCAAAACAGGACGTCAGACATGTGCACTTGCTACTTTTTCCTTGTTTGGAGGAGTCCTTTTGCGATCTTGGCGGCGGCACTATTCACCTTTATCGTTTAAGGAGATCACAGCTATGCATTTGCCGGTCTGCACCCTTGTGCCGCCTTGGGGCGAAACTCCGGATATAAGTCGAGGCATACGGTACATGGCAACACAGCTGATCAAAATCGAAGCCCTCGCCCTCTCTTGCAATAGATTGCGGCTCCCCGACTAGTGTACAAGATACGCTGCTTCCCTTGTCGGTGTCAGCCGCACGGTCTGCAAGACTCCTCGACGGTTTTGGGTTAAAACTGCTACACGAGTTTGTTCATTTCTTGATACGAAAACACACAACGACTTCACCTCTATCAACTGATATAAATATTTTCTGAGCAATGAATCCATAGCGTTATTAGCGAACACGCGATCTGTACTCCTACGATTCCCAGAGAAGCATACAGCGATGTCTCCCCTGCGGGCTCCGACAAGAAATCATTGTGGTGAGGATTCGTTTGTGTGTCGGGATTTGTTCTCGGAGGAGCCACCACCTATCCTCCCATCGAGAATATATCCGTAGTACTTCCAACTTACCGGTCTCGAAAAGGCATCGGCAGTGAACACAAACAGAAGGTCAGCGGCCTCATCTTACTTGAAACCTGTGCTGTCTGCCCTGTGAGGGAGCCACAAGCATCGACTACTATGTATGATGCTGTGCATATCTTGTGGGTATGCACAGGTGCTCTAGCGTGGCATGGCATGGTGTTTCCCCGCATTGCGCGACACCTTTGCGCACAGATATGTGTGTAGTAGATACGGGAGAAACGCTTGGCTCTGAGAGGTAGACAGCAAGACCAACAGGACAGACTGTGTCGTCCGCGCGAATTCATTTGTGACCTGCGAGAGGACAAAGCCAACCTCCCGCCGATTCAAGTTTCTGGTGCCCCCAATGGTCCACTGCTGCTACGGCAGTCTGCTGTTGCCGGTGTGTTCTCAGATATTCGTTTGGGCAGCATTTTTTACGGTTGCAAATCACAGGTTATGGGGGGCAACTCGATCTGAACGCCGATTCACCAAGAGGCAATGCATACGGCGGAGTAGTCGTCCTATCACGATGGTCCTGCGGAGAGCGCGTGCGCTCGCCGCGGCAGGCGACGAGAGAAGCAAGAAACTCACCGCCGCGAGGAAGGCGGTCTGACGGTTATTGCCTTTCCCCGACATGTACGCCATCTGGTGCCTCTCAGCGGGGTGCCTCGCCAGAAGAGCGGCAACCGATGCTGCTGCCTCCCGTTGGATGCGAATCTTGGATTTCTTCTCACCGAGCGCGGTGAAGTTGCTGTGGCAGGGAGGAGTTTGGAAGGTGTGCGCCTGGCCTTGTCTGTTGCTCAACAGGACCAGCGGATGAGGTAGGCGGCTCAGTGAATCATCATGGGCCAACACCCGAGGTTCCGCCGCATTTGTTGGCACAGCGGTTGCGGCAGGTTGCCATTTTGAACCACTTCTTCCCTACCCGTTGCGCGTTGTCAACGCGGTACACTCGCACGGTTCATGAGAACGTCAGCAGCCTTCCTAGTGGGCATTTTCATTGCTGGCGACGGTGCCTTTCTGGGAGGAGTAGCAACAGCAGAGGGAGCAAACATGACACCTTCTGGGTATGGGTTTGTCTACATGTACTGCGGCAGCAGGAGCTTCGCCGTCAGCAGAGTTGGTGAGCTATCGCTACTTGTTGTCTCTCCACCACCCACCTTCTGTACCTGACACCCTTTATCCTGTGCCGACCCCGCTCGAAAGGAATCTCTCGTGACTCCTCGGTATTTGGTTCATATGATATCCTGAACATCAAAAGAGAGATACATTTAGCCCGCTCGAGTACAGCTGGAGCAGGGGGCACGTCAGCTACTATTGCATTGTGTATACAAATGTAAATACACCGAAAGGCCTGTAACCGGCGCCAGAATGGATGGGACGAACGCACACATGCACACACACTCAGCCACCCTCCTGCGCCAAGAGCTCGTTCTTTAGCAGCATTTGCTACTCGAGAATAAACTTAAACACCCAACTATTATACGTGTCTGAGCTCTGAGACGTGAAGCCATCATTGCACTCTCAAAGCAAGATATTTTTCGCGCGGTATGCCGGTCGGCAGTGGCGTTTAGTCTGCATGATGACCTTTTTTGCGCCCGTGCACCAGGGCGAATCTATCCACACCACTGCTGTCGTCTCTAAAATAATCGCCGCCCTTGGAATGACGTCCTGTATTATTTGTTGTCATTGGAGTTGATTCAGTCACCTTGTTGAGCACGGCGAATGTTTTGGTCGACGATGGGGAAAAAATCGGGGTGGAAATATATTAAATTGGAGAGTGGCACAAGAAGACACGATGGAAAGGATTCGGCACTCGGGGAAACGTATATGGCGAACATTAAGCCATTGGTCTAGTCTGTAACGTTATTCTAGGGGTGTTGGTGGCCTTATACATTGTACATGATATTGAATTCTTAGCAACAGAAATGCTGGATTCTCGCAATCGAACAAAGTAATACTTTGAAGTACTCCGAAGTACTTCAAAGTAGCGGCGAGCGCCCTAGAGAAAGAATCGCGTATGAACTACACCGTCTTGGAACTTTTCCGCCTGAAGTATACTTGTAAAAGTAGATTCTACTCGAGTGCATCACGCGCCAAGCCACCGGCGTGTTCGCAGTGTGTGGCGCGCCTGTTGTGTACAAGCGCGCAAAGATCGAATTCACGTGTGATACAGTACTTTAAGTACAGTCGTACCTGCTGGCTGAATGTGCAACGTTTGGTTAGCCGGAACGTCCAACGTACCAATGTCATATCTGATTTGGTGCAGCAAACGCAAGGGATGATGACACTACCAGCGTTTGCTTCATCCTTCATCGTTGTGAGCGGGCGAAAACACGGCATATCGCTCCTTCCCCCATATATACTCTTTTTTTCATAGTGCTTACTATAGCGTTTAAAAACCTACGTAATACGTGAATATATAGATTAAAGTATGGCGATACGATATACTACAGGCGTTAGTATCGCATTCTAAAAATATATTACGTGGGCATACCGTATCCTGTAGGCTTTATTGTCACACTGCTGTATTTCCCGGATGTGAGGTCAGAATATATCCACACTAAATCCTGCCAACAGACCCAGATTGCCGCGTAGCCTGGGGGTGCTCCTTCGTTTCCGCTGGGAGGGCCTCTTGACATCGGTCAAACAGAGACGGAGAACTGTATGGTACAATAGTGCCTAAGATGCCGTTACCTTATCCCGCGTAACACATGCTGGTATACATGGTCTGTCGTACAGCCTGTGGTGCATGGTTCGGGGCCCAACATCATTCCAGACAGAAAGGTGTCAAGGTATTGCCACGCCACGGGTGGCTATGATCTACTGAACGAACACGTGTGCCAACGGTTCACACAAAACGGCCGGATTTTGGGATGTGACCGTCTTCGCCGGGGGGGAGTATTGTTAGTGTGCACACGGTGAGACGCGCTGGTGGTTTGGCTTTCGTGGGAGTCAGCAGAAAAATATCCCGTGGGAGGGGTAACACCCCATGAACACATGTGACGCGCCAAGAAATGCAGCAAAAAGGGAGATGGATCCTTTGGGTTCGGCGCTTGGCAGTCTCCTCCGTTAGACACCGAACGCACACACTCTCATTGCTACAACAAGTACGTCCGTTGCCGCAAGGATGGTAGTTCTAGCTGCGTCCTACATACCTATGCTGCAACTGCCCGAGGCACAAATTTTCTATCCTTGCTGTCGAAATTGCGCCCCCTCTTCCAACGATGTGCACCCGCTCGTCTGTCTCCCCGCGACCCGCCCGCCGGCCTTTTTTTACGTCCCGTCCATCAGGCGGCGCTATCGGCGGTGCCATATCGCGAGCTTGCAGGAGCTCATCGGTGGCGTCGCGAAGCCGCGGCGACAACGTAGGAGGCAGAAGGGTTAGGGCTCGCAGCGGGGAGAGTGGCGGCGGCGCCGACGGAGTGTTTTCGGCCGTGAACGTGCATCCCCGAAGGTGGAGCGAGTCGGACGGGAACGTCGGGGGCCCGTGCGGCGTGCGGCGTAGCAGCAGCGTCGGTGTTCGCCGTTCGATTTCTCTCGCTTGCGTGGCTCCCGGCCCGGCATCAGGAGAATCTTCGGCAGCAGGAGGACGAGGAGGAGGGGGTATGCCGGCGTCGTCGTCGTCGTCGTCGGCGAGCCACCTCTCTCCCTCTCGCGCTAGTTCCACCTGGGCCCTGTCGCGTTCCCCGTCCCCTCGCCGCCCGCCAACACGAACGCCTCCTTCAGCAGCAGCAGCAGCAATTGTCCCGATCTCCTCACCCTCCTCCTCATCGGCTCTCTCCTCGTCCGCTTCCTCGTCTCCGACATCGCCGGCCGATGGCAACAACAACGTCAGCAGCAGCAGCATCAAAGACGACGACAAAGGGTGGCCGGCTCCACACCCCTCCCAGGCCTACGTCGCCAAGGCGAGGTGCGGGCAGCGGTACGAGCACGACGTGGAGACGGGGGGGGCGACGCGGATAAGAGCGGTGGTGTCGGACCTGGACGGGACTCTGCTGGGGCCGGACAAGCTTGTGTCCCCCACCACTCTGGAGGCTGTTCGAAAGGCTAGGTGAGGCGGTGGGATGTTTGGCACTCCTCGACAGCGAAAGAAAGACGCTCATGCACGCACCCGATGTACATTTGAAGGTTTCAACATGGATGGATGTAGTGCTCCTTACATGAGCATTGTTGGTGTGTGTTTTGGAGGTTGCCGAGGTCGTGGTGCGGGCGGTCTATGTCGTGTTTTCCTCTCGTTGCTGTTGTCGCTGTTTTGGTTTGAGGCGCTGGTGGCGGCGCATATGGTTTCGATGCTTGTCCCTATCTACAAGGAACGTGATTTTCTTTTTCTGCTGATACCAAGGATAGACCTGAGACCACCAGTACCGAGCGATGTCCTTTGCTGCTCGCATTGTGTGCTTCCGATCATCCTCACCCGAAGGAGTTCGACACAAAGCGGTTTTGGTGGCGTTTTTTAAATTTTTTTCCACCAGGGCCAAGGGCATCATCTTCGTGCCCGCGAGCGGCCGCTCCAAGTTGGGCATGATATCCGTCATGGGGGAGTTGGGGCAGGAGCTTCAGAGAGACGGCTCCCCGATCGTGTGCATGAACGGCCTGACGGTGAGGGGCTGCTAAGAACAATTCGCAACAACGGCAACAAAAACAACAAACAGCAGCTTATTCCACCGACGACACCCACATGCGATAACGTGATTATCAGCTACCTGCCTGTATCCTCCTTCCATCATGAACGGCGCGCGCCCTTCCCGAAATAACCAACGCGCAAGGTGTACGGGCAGGGAGACGGCAACGGTGATCTGGGCGAGATCATTCACAGCGAGCTCATGTGCCCGGAGCTAGCGGCCAGGGTTGTAGCGTTCTGGAAGGCTCACCCCTTGGCGGAGGCGGCGGGCGTCTCCTTGTGCGGGAGCGAGGGGGAGACCATTGTCGTAGAGACCCTTGATCCTCGGACGAGCAGGTGAGAGATTTCGTCCAAAACGGAAACACTTCAACAAAAAATCTATACAAAACAGTTTGCGAACTAACCCAAAATGTATAAAACAGTTCGCGAACTAGCCCAAAATATATAAAAGCTGATGTTTTCGGCATAATATTAATATATTTGCTAACTAGAAAACGGACAAGTGAAGATGAGAAGTTCAGAATTTCTATCTCCAAATAAAGGACGAAGGCAAATGAATACATAAGAGAAAAATGCGCTGACGAAGGCAAGCTGGACAATGATCCAGCCGAACTCGGGTGCCAGGTACCCACGCGGTACACGTTACGTGGTTGGGGGTAAAAGGCACCAGGCAGGCGACGGTGCGAATGAAACACTTAGGAATACACACACTCAATCCTGAAACATGTTCCAGCCGCTACAAGGGTTGCTTGGAGCAAGACTACTCCAGCGGGAAGCTAGCTCTCTGGTTTGTGAAAAGACTCAGTGACTGACGAAGCATATGTTGTAAAGTAGACAGAAGTAGTCGACTGTGGTAGCACATGTCAACCACGTGCTAAGTAGAAGAGCGCTCGGGTTCGGATAGTTCGGATTTTGGCGAAGCGACTCTCCCAGAAACGGGTGAGAAGGACACATCGGTACCCCTGCGTCCCGATGGACACGCGCGTTCCGTGGCGAACGTCCCAATGACAGACTCAAAACAGTGAGCAAGCAGGATCTGACACCGCTCCGTCGCCCAACCCACCACCGCCCCTCGCTCTACGACTTGATGGTGTCATGCACGGGCGCTCTCGGTTCGGCGGTTGTCTGCCAGCTTTCCTGACTGGGGGGAGCCGTTGCCGAAGGAGGTGAGGCCTGTTGATTGTTCATGTGTGAAGACGGCGACACGGCATCCAGGGTGGCTGGGGGTGCAGGGACAACCCAGATGGTTTTGACTCAGGGTAGATAGCTTTGACTCCATCATCCTATGGATGGGAACAACCGCGAGGATTGCTCGAGGAACCGCCGCCGCTGTAGCGTGTGAACTGGCCTCCTTCCTCTGGCAGTACAATAGCGCTGCTTACAGCAAGCCGTGTTGGTCGCTAGTTGTTGCCGGCATCCCTTTCCGCCACCGATCAAAGTTTAAGAGCCGGGCGCAAGAACGTGTGCCACGAGAACGTAATGTTTGCTTGTCCCAGCCCCTCCAGAGTTTTTCCGTCTCGTCTCGTCTTGGGGGCATGCGGTTTTCAGAAGGACAACGGTGGTGGTTAGACTGAGACTCAAAAACGGTTGTCTAAGCAGACGTGTAGCGCCACAGTATCGCCGCCAAAGCACGTTAACCTCCGTGCCTTCCTTCCCGCCTTTTCTCCTCTTGGCAGTATGGCGTTTCACCAGTAACTGGGTGGTTTTGGATTGAAAATGTATTGAACGGGATTGTCACGTGAAAACGGCCGTTACGCCTACTCCGGTGTCCTGCGGTGTCACACCAGGAGCGAAGCGTTTTTTCATGCCACGCAATACTCCCCCCCCCCGTCGCCAATGGTTTACGACTACGGCATGCACGACTATGAGGACCCCGGTCGCCTAGATAGTAGCCTGGGCCGGCGAAAACCCGGCAAATCGCTCCGTCCCGGCGGCGAGGTCACTGGTCTAAAACGACAACGGCATGCATTTACATTGAGTACGCACGATAACCCCCTCCCCGCTTACCCGCGTGTGGATGGCCGTCTTTCCGCAATTGTCCGAGAAAGGTGGGCAGCTGGCAGGAAGCGATCGCCGGCGGCATGGGGCTTAACCGCCTCTACTTCTGGGGGCCAACTCGGTGCGACACGAACGCCTCATTATCTACACGAATTTGCGGCAGTTTTATTGCTGCACCGTTCTGTCATCTCTGCCCGGTACCTTGAATCTTTTCCTGCTCTCACGAATCCAACAGTAACGAGAGTTAGCTTCGCTGGTGGTTGGTAGCCGGGCGGTCGTTTTCCTTTTTGTGCGTGCATCTGGCTTTCGTGTTAGCTTTGCGTCTCAAGAACAAAACAAAATTACTCGTTCTCAGTCGATACTTCAGGCTTGTGAGAGCCAGAAAGACTGGGGGTGCGTTCAGAGGACAGACAGAACGGTGTTGAGAACGGACCATCGATACAATCCGATCCTGGTTTGTGTTTTGTGGTCCAAGTGCACCCTCTCCTTTCTGATCTCAGCTGGGCTTAAGGCTGTCTACCTGATCTACATGTCCACGTCTATGACGTTTATCATGTGCATGGCTGTCTGCACCTAACCTACATGTATGACGCAATACAATTGGATTCACCTGGTCATTCTATCCTAATCGTCTACACACGTTTATTTGAGTGTACCTTTTTGAGGGTAAGTTAACCTGTGACCACGGGAATCGACCGCGTCGAGTGTTGGATCAGTACGGACATACGAAGGTACTGGGTAGAGAGAGATCGGAACGGTTTTTAATGTGAAGACAACAACAACAACAACAACAACACACGACCCCCCTCTAGCACATATTCCCGTCTCGAGTACTCTGGTACGTGCTGACGTGTTTGGCGCGGTTTTCTTGTGGATGAGAAGGCGGTATAGCAAGAGTGATCGATGCCGCGGCGCGATTTGGTTCGGCCTGCCGGCATCCATCCGTACGTCTTTCTTCACGTGTTCGACGTTAAGATTTTGGACCAACCCCATTGAGAGGTCGAAAATTCTGTTGTTTTTTTCTTTTCAGACACTGCGAAAAACCGTCTCTATCCATAGGCAACAGCCCAGGAAAAATTATCGATGAATTCGTAGTGTTATGGGTTGTAAATTATTTGTTATTTAAACCTTGTTTTGGGCTTATCGCTGCTGCGAAAAATCGTATTTTGGCCTTGAAGAGCCGGGATTGTGGGGTGCTGCACAGAGGGTGGATTTGTTTTCAAGGTGGAGGCAACGACAATATCAAAGCCTTTGTTGTTGTGATGTGGCCTCTGCTGCAGTCAACACGTCATGCCGATCTGTTTCGATGTGCTCTGGTATTTGTTAAGGGTTGGTGTTCTCAGACACCTGCTCTCTTTCAAGCGCTGGGTTATGCTTGATTGCAAGCAATTTTGATGTTGAAGATGGAAACCATCGTCGCATCTGATTCACTTACTTATCCCTTTTTTCCCGCCCAACCCTGCTCTCCCTTACACGTCACCGCTATGTAGGGCGGCCGTCGATGCCTTTGAGGAGGACCTTAAAGAGCATCTCCAGGACCACCCGGCAGAGTTGACGAGAGGGGTGCCTGAGATGATTGAAGTCTTGCCACACGGGGCCTCCAAAGCAGTAGGTCTGGAGGCCCTCCTGAAGACGCTAGGCGTTTCCCCCGAAGAGGTACGTGGAGTGAGGGAGACAGTGAATTGATGTCGTTTTGGCGTGGGAGTGGGAGGAGGGTGGCGGGGGGTGCATGTGCGGCGAGAGGCAGAGAGAGACAGAGAGAGAGACACACGCAAAGAGAGAAGCAGGAGACAAAATGAGAGTGAGAGAGCCAGAGACAGTCATAAACAAGGACATGCAGAGACGGAGACAGAAATATGAGATGCTAGCGATGACTTGAGGCACTTTTCCGTACACTTTTCACAACCGAGGCAATTATTGTGTATATTGTCGTCCCACGTATTCCGGGCGTCAGGTTTCTCGACATACGGTTTGGGCTTTTCAAGTTCATAGAACTGTATCAACAGCACAGCAGCCAGGCGCGGTAAACCTTGGGCAAGGCAGGACCGCAACCCCCGTCTCCGGCTCGTGCCGCACCATGCCATGCACCAATGAAGCAACCCTGTTGTCGCTCCCTTCTTGTCGCAACTCCATGACACAAAACACGAATAGGTGATCGCCGTGGGCGACATGGAGAACGACGTGGAGATGCTGCGGAGCGTGGGACACGGGATCGCGATGGGACAGGCCTCCCTAGAGGTGCGGCGGGCGGCGAGGTTCACCGCCCCCACCAACGAGTTGCACGGAGTCGCCGTCGCACTGGAGACATTCTGCGGCATCTAGGTGCCGCTGCCGCTGCCGCCCCCCCCCCCGCTTCACCGCAGGTGCTACGCGGAGTCGCTGGCAACCACCTGTGCACATTCGAACGTAGTATGATAGTACCACAGTTTTTTAAACCCTTGTTGTTGTGTCGTTTTTTTTGTCGTTTTTTTTTGTTGTCGTTTTTTTTGTCGTTTTTTTTTTGTTTTCCTCTGCGCGTGCGCATGATTTATTTTTTGTTGTTGATGATGTCTTATTTTTAGACACTTCTGTACACAATCACAGTATTTTGTCCATCGATTGCGCGGTAAACCGCCTGCCGTCATTGACGACATAAGAACTTCGTTCTTCGTGGGGCGAAGAATGCGAAGAAACGAATGTGTTGCAGTCTGTTGCGGTCCCCCACCGGGAGCCCGCGGAGGGTACTGAGCCAAGTGGCCCCGCCCCCCCGGATTCAGCGCTTGCCTGTGTGTGTGTGTGCATGGCCTCGGCCGCGCTATCCGACTGACGAATGAAAACACATCAGCCTCAAGCCGGCTGAAAAACAGAAAACGCCTGTGAATTCCATGATCTGGTGCCCGTCATGGGGAAGGAAGGCTAAGCTCGTCTCCGTATTAACGGCCGAAACCGTAGCAAAAGAAAAAATACTTCACATGTGTGAGCTGCACGGAAAGTTCCGTCTCCGTGTGTGTTTGAGTTCTGAATCCGTTTGGCGGAGTGACATTTTGATCTTGGCATGAGTGTTTTGAAGAGAAGATGTCCATATCAGTGTGTCATTGAAGGCACCCTCGGTTATGTATGTAGATCTGTGCGGGCAGAGTAGTGATGATTCTTTTTCTATTTTTCTGCACGTGAAATGCGGGTCGACAACCATGACCGCTTCGCGGCCTCTGCCACGATCGTAAGCTTTCGTGCCCAGAGGTGTTTCATTTGCCCGTGACTCTTGTGTGCCATTTGCGTTGTGTGGGCTCGTGTGGTAAAAAGCAATACTAGGTGGTAGGCTCCTCTGTGCTTTCAAGGCTATTGCCCCTTCGTAAAGAAGTGCCACAACGCAGCACTCGATTGAGAGGTTCGACGGGCAGCTTGCCTTGGAGGAGATACTGCTTCCTAGGCCTTGCACAATCGTCGTTCTTCGAACGTCTTCGTATGTGGAGGCGTGTGTCGTCGCGGTGGTTGAAGGGTTTTCGACGTTGCCTTCGCTTTTAAGTTTTCACATCGAAGGGCCTGCGAAGTGCACCATATAAGACGTGTCTGTGCGGGTCAGTGGCGGTGACTCAATGGTTCTCCTCGGGATAGTTCCACACATATTCTCTACAGCTAGCTCATTCTAACGGTATTGATGTCCGTTGTGATCGGTGGAACATGTGTGATCTGGGTATGTTTGCTTGAGGTCATCTCCAAGACATGAGTGATCGGGGTACGTTTGCCCCAGGCGATCTGAACAATACAGGTGATCGGGGCAAGTTTGTGCGAGAGACGATCTGAAGGACATAGGTGATCGGGTTGTGGTATGCTTACTCCATGGTGAACGGAGTATATTTGACTGAGGTAATCTGAACGACATTGGTGATCGGGGTGTGTTCGCTCCATGGTGATCTGAAGGACGAAGGTGATCGGGGTATGTTTAACCGAGGTGATCCGAAGGACATAAGTGATCGGGGTATGTTCGCTCCATGATGATTGACCTAAAGCACGAAGGTGATAGGGGCATGTTTTTTGCTCCGTGGTGATCTGAAGGACATAATAGTTGATCGGGGTATAATTTTCTCGAGATGATCCTAAGGGCATGGGTGATCGGGGTACGTTTGCTCCATATCTGATCTGAGGACATGGGTGATCGGGATATGTTTGCTCGAGATGATCTGAAGGATATGGGTGATCGGGTATGTTTGTTCGAGATTATCTGAAAGATACCGGTGATCGGGGTATATATGTTTGCCCGAGGTGATGTGAAGGGCAATGGTGATCGGGATGTGTTTGCCCGAGATGATCTGAAGAATACAGGTGATCGAGGTATGTATGTTCGACAGGTGATCTGAAGGACCTGGGTGATCGGTGTACCGCATGTGACACCGGGTATCACCCCACACACACAATGTAAGGCACCCCCCACAGAAGAATTGAGCAATCCCTCGCCACATTGCAACAAGAGCGAAATTACCTCCGCTGGTGAACGGTTATTCACCACTTAAGGGACCTTTACTCGTATCAGAGTGAAGGCTATTCTCAGTGCTATGCATACAAAACATGTCATTGATCCCGAACGAGGAGCCGAATTATCACCCCCACCTGGGTTACCTGAGATGACACCCTCCCCTGAGGCTAGGTCGCATGTAATCACGGAGCGCCTACTATCACCCCGGTGATGACCAAAGCAGTGGTCCCAGATCATAAACGAGATTGCCACCGGGGAGCACGCGAAGGTTCTGGATAGCCGCCGCAGAGGCCCCAATTTCGCAATGGGGGGATCTCTTCCCTCCAAATAGCTTCCCGCGGTGAAGGGATCTAACCTTACTGCACGCAGTATTCTCAGATGACCACGTCCCCACAACGGTACCATCTTTCTTTCCTCTTTACCATGTTATTCGCCGTCTATGCAACTATGTACCGGGTCCTGAAGTCGGTCCTCTCCTTTCCCCCCCACCTTCGAATAAGAAAAAACAGGAGGGTAGGTGGCAAAATATACTCAATTGTTGGCAGCTCCAGAGGCTGGCAAACCATTTCTACGTGTCCACCTTGCTCCTTGTCTCTGCGCTACTCTGTCTGGTAAAATAAGGCGGGACTCTGCAAAAACAAAAACTTCGATAGAGAGGTGGAACTCGGCCGGGAACTCCCTATCTCGTTCGGTCCCGCCGAAATTCCATTATACTTTACCACATACCCCAATCAAACAAGAAAACGCCATGACCATTCGAAGCCTTCAACAAACCTACCCTTTCTTGCCCTGGCTATCACAGAGCGTGTTGCTGTCCGCACTCTCGAGTTATTTCTACTATAATAGTTGAGAAACGCTTCGGGCAGGCAGCGTCGACGATATTCGTCGAGTAGGTATCACATTTGTCAAAACATTCAAGACTCTCTCTTTCTTTCTCTCCGTTTTCCTCTCATCTTTCCCACCCAGTTTTTACAAGCAGCCATTATCAGGACGCGTTTCTCCTGCAAGCAAGCATCAGAAGACCTCTTGTTCCATGCCAATAACAAAACAACTCAATAAGGCGAAAAAAGCCTGCAAGTTCTGCAAGGCCACCACTTTCTCAACTCAGTGTTCTCTCTCTCTCTCTCTCTCTTTCTTTGTCTCTCTCATCGTCCCGACCAATTTTTTAAGCATGTACGCAAGAATCAGAAGCCCTCCTCATCCACGAAAAAAAAGAAGACCAACATCACCTGGAAGTTCGTGAAGGCCACCGCTTTCTCAAGCTAAACTCTTTCTCCATCTCCGAACTCTCTCTTTCTCTCTCTCTCTCTCTCTCTCTCTCTCTCTCTGTCCTTCTCCCTCCCTGTCATCGTCCCATCGAAGTTCTACAACCAGACGGACCCCTTCGTGCGTTGTTTTCGTCACTGTTCTCTGTCTCCCTTTTCACTTCTTGGGGGCGCCGAGCAAACCTCGATGGGCACGCTTGGCCTGCTGGCGGACGCGCTTCATCTCCTCCTGCAAGAAAGACACGAACAACAACATGGACACGAAAGTAAACGACGGAAAACGACAGCAACGAAACGGTGGGGGACAAGGGGAGTGGCTACGATGTGATCGTCAAGTGAAAATGGATAGGGATCAACAAGGGTCTACGAAACCGTCAGCAGCGCAAGAGAGAGGAAAATATAGAATACATCTTTTCAGAGAAAGGGATGCAAAGTGATCAGCGCAATACAAACAAAAAGCAAGCATTCCAACAACAGACAGCAACAAGGGATGCGAAGCGGCGACATCGTGTTGTGCGTGCGCGCTGGTGGCCCTCGGGGTCGCCCTATCGTTGCGCTCGGTTCTCGAGGACAAGGCTGTACACTATTGCCATGCTGGTGTCGCGAAATGGCCGCGACCTTGGGCAACACCCCCAAACGGTAGCATGCACACACAACACTGCATCTCTGTGTCATTTTCTTGCTGGGACACTCCTCCCCAAGCTAGGTGGAACGGGAGAACGTCAAAAAATGTTTTCATTGGCAGCATCGCAATGAAGTGCGTGTGCGTGTATGTTCGTCCCATCTATTCTGGCGCCGGTTTACAGGCCTATCGGCGTCTGTATCTGACATTCCAGCCCGGGGTATACGACGTAAATTCACATCTCAGTAGCCATACACCGAGGAGATTGCGTCAATTAGGGTTTGTCATGACCCCTACTCAGCCCCTCTGCGGGGCCTCTGTTGTTGGTCTGCGACAGCAGTAAAACAAGCACCTCAGAAATCTGAACAACAGGAGGATATGTACGCGAGCGCAAATAGACGAGTTCCTGTGCGTTGGGGCGCTGTTTACCGGAAGCACAGGTGTGTTTGAAAGTTTCAATAATCACCACAAAAATTTGCGACGTTCCAAACAAGTACCTACAACGTCGAGTGCAGCGTTGATCGCAACACAACATTACTCGTGCCAATACCAGGAGTTTCGAACACGGACTGCAGAAAAAACACTTTTGAGAAAGAAGAAAAATAACGTGGTTTCTTGACGCCCCTTCCCATCAAGGAGCCTCTCTCCTGGCCGTCCACGACAGCAGAAAACAGCCAGCATTTCGGAAGCCGCTGCAAAAACAACAATTAAACAGCCCCAAAACGCGGCGGCCGGCATTCGGGGCTCTGCCTACGCAACGAAAGCGAACTTTGTTGCGAAAAACGACCAGGTAGGGGGGACGCAGAAAGTGACCCCCTAACCCCCAACGTAGCCGTTTCAACACGTCGAAAGCCTCTGCGCAGGCTACTGGGCATTCGTTCACGAAACTCGAGAGACCAACTTCGGTCGTACCCTGAGGTGCTTGTCCCCCTTGCCGACGGAACCCTTGATGTTGTTCTGGACCTTCCAGTCCTTCACAGCCCGCCTCATGGCGGCCCGGCTTCCATCCGAGGAAGAAGAAGACGACGACGATGACGACGACTGACAAAAAAAAAGGGGGGGGGGGTCCTTGTTTCTCACGGGTGGTTGGGGGGGGGGGGGGGGGGGGGTAACCTTGGGCGGTCGGGTCCCCTGCCGTTGGTGT